CAGGCATCTCGCCGCAGTGCGAATGTAATTTATTGTGTGAGTGAGCTGTATTGCTATGTGGTGTTTATGCGCTGCGTCGCAGTACGAGGTAGAATGTACCCCGAATGTATAGCTTGTTTTTGTATATTTTATTACATTAATAAAGTATATTTTTCAATCAAAAAAAAAAATTGGTATTGTTTAAGTTGGTCAAGGACATCAGCGAATCGGTCACGTGGTGGCACAGTCTGGCTGTCCTCCAGTAGCCTCTGCTACCAGGCTGCCAAAGTCAGCATGTTGTGGAAGAGGTAAGAGCAGGTGTACAGATCCATCTGCTGCCACTTATCTCTGGAGAATACAATAATGACTGGATAAGGTTTTCTTACCTAAGGTATTCTTATCACTACGTTGCTTAAGACATCTTGGCTTTTGTCTGCTGTGGTCAGCATGTCTGCTGCTCTGGAACCAGAGAATTGAGGGGGCAAATGTGCTCTGTGCAATAGAGCTGGCACTTCCTTCAGTGATGCACATACTCAGCGCATACGTTAGTGCACAGCCACTGTGCAAAGCATATTTCTAGAGGGAAGAAAATGGAGGCTGTCATTGCTGACTTCCTTTTGAAAATGCGAGTTTGCTGGCTAACATGCTGACCTTCATCAATGCTTTCTAACACTCCTTAAAGAATTATGCAGGAAAAATGGTACATGCTCCAGGGACTGTCATTCTTATTCTTCCTTCACTACATGATGAGCCACTAATATGAAAAAAGCATGGGCATAGTCAGTATATGAGTCAGTGACTCACTCTGCAAAGATAAGAATGGGAGCCCAGCAGCAAGATACCAGAGGTAGTTGCCATATTGGTATTGTTTAAGGTTTATTGAAGTTTTATCTAGTTGAAGGTATTTGATGTGGATCCTACGGACCACAGACCCAGTACGGGGTAATGCGGTGTCATGAATGACGTGGAGGGCTCAGGACTCTTGTCTTGCGCTACACGTCAGGCATCTCGCCGCAGTGCGAATGTAATTTATTGTGTGAGTGAGCTGTATTGCTATGTGGTGTTTATGCGCTGCGTCGCAGTACGAGGTAGAATGTACCCCGAATGTATAGCTTGTTTTTGTATATTTTATTACATTAATAAAGTATATTTTTCAATCAAAAAAAAAAATTGGTATTGTTTAAGTTGGTCAAGGACATCAGCGAATCGGTCACGTGGTGGCACAGTCTGGCTGTCCTCCAGTAGCCTCTGCTACCAGGCTGCCAAAGTCAGCATGTTGTGGAAGAGGTAAGAGCAGGTGTACAGATCCATCTGCTGCCACTTATCTCTGGAGAATACAATAATGACTGGATAAGGTTTTCTTACCTAAGGTATTCTTATCACTACGTTGCTTAAGACATCTTGGCTTTTGTCTGCTGTGGTCAGCATGTCTGCTGCTCTGGAACCAGAGAATTGAGGGGGCAAATGTGCTCTGTGCAATAGAGCTGGCACTTCCTTCAGTGATGCACATACTCAGCGCATACGTTAGTGCACAGCCACTGTGCAAAGCATATTTCTAGAGGGAAGAAAATGGAGGCTGTCATTGCTGACTTCCTTTTGAAAATGCGAGTTTGCTGGCTAACATGCTGACCTTCATCAATGCTTTCTAACACTCCTTAAAGAATTATGCAGGAAAGTCAGAGAGAATTTGTAAGTCCTTATGTGTATGTCTGTTCTGGTTAGTGACTTAAAGTATTCAAGCAAAAGGATCTGCAGAACAGCCAGGCAGCTGGAATAAGTCCACAATATTGGTCTCTGTGTTCCTCTCAAAAAAGGTTTTCTATAAACTTTATCATGCTTTACAATGAACACTTGTCCTGGTCATGCTGACATATTTATACTTTTAAAGGAGAACTATGAGATGAGTGCTTTTCACTCACCTCTTAGTTCTAGCCGACCTGTGACAATGAGACTGTCACAGGTCGGCTCAGTAGATCGGGAAGTGAGCGAACACATACCAGCGGGGAGGGGGGCTGGTTTCCCCGCTCCGATCCACCAGCGCTGACTGGCGGAATGGACAGGGGAGGGGGCGGGTACAGCTGGCTCTGCCTCTAGATAGGCAGAGCCAGCTGTCACTCACACAGCTGGGCGGATCTCGACATCGATGTCGGGATCCGCTCCGGCTGCGGCGTCTCAGTATACCGCGAGCTGCAGCTTGCGGTATACTGAGCTTAGGGTGACGGGAAGACGCTAGTTTGTGTCCTCCTGTTACCCTAAGGAGAACTATGGGGTAAAGCCCTAACCCCATAGTTCTCCTTTAAGTGCATTAAATTGACTATATTTGACAGATTTGTAAAGGCCAATTCGACTTCCAGTTTAATTCAGCTAAATACATTCCAGGTGCATCAAAACAAAAGGTGGACAAAAGTCTCACAGTTTTCTTGTTTTTCACACATCAGCCACAGCCAAAGTAGAAAAGCCTGCATCCTGCCAGCATTCTGCAGAAAAACTACCCTAATACTTTCTATGTGGAAGCAGTGGTCTCAATGCTGAAGTCCAACACACACCCTGCTCAGTCCGAGCTAGAGCTCTCCAATCATCAACATTAGCTTTGATAATTGCAGAGCTATAAGTCTGACTCAGTAGGGGCTGTGTCAGACCTCTGCAGAGGGAGCACTGCATCCACACAGAGAGCAATGGTCCGTCTCTACAGCATTTGGCAGGGGACACGCTTTTGGACCCAGACTGTGACTGCTTTTTGAAGAAAATAAAAAGTAAAGGTCAGTTCACACCTCATTGCTCTGTGCTACAATGCACATGTTTCCATGCACTGTAGGGGAATTGTGGTGTGCTGCAATAGGCAGCCCATTCAAAATAGATGAGCTGCAATGCATAAAAAGGGTATTTTTGCATCACAATGTATAGTACAGCTTTTCAATCCACACCATGCATTGTGAAGGTGAGCTGCAATGGTGCGTTTAGGTGCCATTTAAAAGGAAAGCCACTGCAACTCTCTAATATACGAATGGTGCATTACAGTGTGTTGCACTAATTTGCATGATGTACTGTACGTTACTACAACAGACTTGTGTTAACGTGACTTTGCACACCTTTTGTTTTGGTCCACCTGAAATGTATTAAGCTGTTTCAAGCTAAAGGTACAACTGAGATTTAAAATATTTGTATTTAAATTATAACATACATTACACCACACAACAAAGCACTGACAATGAAACCAATTCTTTTTGGAGCAATACATATTTAAAATGTTTTCCCATTGAACAATGATAGCCCTTAATTCACTAAGCAGTACTCAAAATCAAATAAATATGCATAAGGGATGATTGATTAGGTAAGTAACATGCATGCATACGTAACATATATCTATGTTTAATGGTCACCCTAGCAGCAACAAAAGTGGCATTTTGCCATGTGTCCTGCACATTGTTTAGAAGCAGATCGGTATCCTGTTAGCATTCCTGAGTAAAATCTGCTCATACATTAGCCTCCAATGATTTCCTGAAAAAACATATGGAAGCAATAGTATGGCTCTGCAGTCACCCCAGCTGAAGATATATTAGTGGAGAGCAAGGAAAGAGCTGCTGCTAGCTATGTGCAAACCATGTACAAGGACCAGTCTATGTGCAGCTAGCTAGCACGTTCACTGCTCTGGTAAGGTTTATACTTTTGAAAACACAAAGAGAAAATACATATACATTGAAACAAAATAAACACAAAAATAAAAAAACACACACAAAAGAAAGACAATATCATTTTAGTACACACAAACACATCCAGTCCAACTGCAGTACTAACAACTTTGCATATTTATTAGGAGCAAAATCCATATATTTTGTTACAGAATACAGTCAAATAATATAGCTTAAAAAGCCCATTGTCCAAGTTGAAGGGTATTTATTTAAACACATGGTTATGATTACTGCAACTCTCTAGTGCTTTGCTGTTGAATTTTGGAGCAACAGCGCCCCCTGCCAACCAAAACAAGGCAAGGGTCTGGAAAGTTTGGGAGTTCTGCGAAAATGAACGGTGCTTTTATAATGTACCAGGCTAAGTGACTGTATTTTATAGTCCTGGTTTCTATAATAATATATGGAATCTCTCTTTTCTGATTCTAAACAGAGCAGTCTGATAATATTCCTATGGCTCTGCCATATAAATCATGCATATTATGCTGGGCAATCTAGGCAGACAAGGAGCAGATAGAACAAAGGCAAGCAATGAGATTAGTCTTTTATGTGTAATGTTGTCCAGCCAGCAGTGTTTATGGTAAAGCATTTCAATCCACATCACAGCAGTGAAAGGCTTGTTTGTAGCAAAGGCTGTATAGCTGGACGTGTTTGTGTATGAAAAAAGTCAGCTAGACTAGGGGGAGGACTTTATTCCAGATGCTGTCTCCTATTGTGAGGGAGGGGAGGAGGTCTGACATCTATGAGGGTGATTAGTTTTTGGGAAGGATGGGCTATCGCACTAAATCAATTCCAAGACTCGGGGCTCCATTCTATTACAGCTCCATGTAGAAGACGGTTGGTCACCAACTCTCTGACATATCCACTTTTTTATTTTATACAGCATAGGTTACTTATTGATACTTACTATATACTGAAAAGGTAAGACAGAGTTTATCTGCGTGCATATATATATATCATTACTGCAATCATAATTTTGCTTGATTACATTATGATAGCTGCTGAAATTTGGCCAGTTGAACCCATCTTTGCACTTTGCAGACAACTTTTGGAGGTGTTGACATCCTCCATCTTAATAGACCAATGAGGCGATATAATTGGCATCTGGGTTGTATTAGGCAGTTATAAAGTTTATGGTGGGTTCAGGTAGGGCACTGTGTAAAACACATTATTGGTATTTTGCTGTGAAGTGCCATTGTGTATGCAGAGTCTCAGAGTCCAGGAATAGTTGGGCAGCTGCTTTTGCACGTTTTGGATTGATGTTGGTGGAGATACCTCCTTCAAGTCTACTCTGCAAGCTTCCTAAGGATGTAGAGCACACCAAGCTGTTTCCATCATGATGGTCTCACGCACCCTGGATGTACAAAGAAAGATTGCCTTACTGGAGCTTAGGAGATGATTTCATACTGTTGAAGGTCTGAGGAAGGACTACATCTGTCTGCCTGGGGCTCCTCTGGATGGTTCTTCTTGAAGGCTTGCTTGTGTTTTTCCTCTGGTGCACCAGCAATTCACAGCTAATGACAACCACATTGAGGAGGGGGAAGGCTCCTCCACAGTTTTGGAACGTGGATTTCTGGAATTGATAGCTGGAATCGGGGTCTCTCTCAGGATTTGGGAATTGTTATCCAAGTGCACCGAAATCATTGTTCAAATTGTATGATCTCATAAGAATTATATTGCGGGAAACACTGAAATAACAAGGAATACTTATTAATATTCGGGATTCTTGGGTATACATTGAAAAATATAACGGAAGAGAGGTAAGTAGCAACAGTTATTGGCGTTGTGTTAATATATTTAGAGGTTATTTGTTGAGTTTGCAAAGGAAGGTAATCTTGTTAAAGTTTGACTAATGTAATAAGTTCGTATGCTCCAATCGGTACTTTGTAACTATACTTTTTCCTCTTCAGCTACTGTGACATGATTTACCATCAGCTTACTTGTTACTTTCCCTCCTAAATTATGATAACCTACATGTCATGGTCCTTTCTTTGGCTACTATACTCTAACTTTGTAACGTTCTCCCCTTGGCTGCTATTACCTTACTGTGCCTTACTCCTTACTTACTACAACTTCACTTTGGGACTTTCCCTCCTTGGCTACTATATTACCACTTTGTGACTTTCCCTCCTTAGCTACTATAACTTTATTCTGTGACTTCTCCTCCTTGGCTACTATATTATCACTTTGTGACTGTCCCTTCTATGTTTTTGTGCTGGGTGCAGGGACTTTCTTTCCTGCGCTACTACAAGTTTACTTTGTGCCTTTCTCTCCTAGCTACTATAACTTCACTTTGGGACTTTCCCTCTTGAACTACTATACCCTCCTTATGAATTCTTCTCCTGTGCTTCTGTTCTCTGACTTGTGACGTTTCCTCCTGGACTTCTATTATGAGCTTACTTGCAGCTATACCTCCACAACAGTTATAAGTTCAAGTCTGACTTTTTATATTGGTCATCTGTACTCTGACTTGTGACTTTTATTTTCCTCCTCAACTTCTATTATGAGCTACCTTGCAGCTATACCTCCTGAGCAGTTATCGGTTCAAGTCTGACTTTTTTTATTGGCCATCTGTAATCTGACTTGATTTTCCTCTTCTCATAAGCTATCTTTGTGGCTTGATCTCATGCAACCTTTTCCAGGATGTTCTATGTGTCTAGTATGGTTTATATATAGCTGTCCCATTCAGCGTCTTTCACTGCCACTTGTTTGCATCCCCTTGCCATGTCAATTGTTTTTTAACAGTTAGTGGGAGTCAAAGGAGTGAAAAGGGCTTTACATGATGTTTCCAGTTTCCTGCTGGGCTCCAGAGCTGTTAAATCTCCCGAGAGCCCTCCCCATTCCTCCTCTCACCCTAGCTGTCCCTGATAGGGAGACCTTGGTTGGCATTCTCTGTGGCTCTGGAGTTCATCACTGGTCGAAAATGATAAGGGTGGCTGTTCACAGCAATGTGCATACTATGGGGTAGTGTTCTGGTGAGGTTCTAGCATCAGATGAAACTCAGATTTATTGTGCTCAGCCTGGCAGGAACTGTCTAGTCATGGTCCAGGATATTTGGCTCTCCTGCTCCCTGTTGAACATTTTGGACAGCCTTTCTATAGGTTAGCATCCAAGTTACATTGCTAAACAAAGGGATTTTTATATGCCAGGTTTTTTATGATGTTCACAAATGTATCTTCCTACTGGAAAGTTTGAGAACCTCTGGAAAAATTGGCTTTGAATATCTAGACTTTGGCAGTGTAAATAAGCATTGTTGATGTTAAGTAGTACATCTTGTTGAGAGTGTAAATAGTACATAGATTGTATGGCTGCTTTAGGGAGGTCAGGTTTGTCTCCAAACTTTCCCTGGAAAACAAGTCTTTAGATGTTCAGTTGTCATTACTTTGGTGGCTGTCATTACCTGAATCCAATCCCAGGCTCCAATGGAGCGATCCTGCTTATATTAACTGAACTGGGAAGAGATAAGATAAGACTGATCTCACTGAGTTCTATATAAAGGTTTAGGCAAGACAGAGAACATCTGTTTGTGGAATAACTCCTCAGACGAGAGACTTGGTATCCATTCACACCTCTCACTCCAGGCCGCTTTTACTGCCTAAAGCTCATCCTCTTTACATTGTTATGTACATGGAGATGATCAGACTGAGGCACTGTGCTATACATTGATCATTATGCCAAGACACAGCCATTAAATAAAATGCACAACTTGTAAGAAGAAGGGACAGGGGTCATATGCTAGGCATGGTATTAAGGAAGATTGGATTAGCAGTAACCATCAGAGATGTGGCAGCAAGAGATATTGAGAGGATGGGATTATCACTAATTAAGACAAGTAATGAGATAATTAGGGAGGCGGGATAAACCCCTGATGTGTTAATTCAATATATTCAAATAGCATGGGATAAAGAGTATTGTTAGTTGCCATAAGCACAAGTGTTGGAAGATAACTTAAGGCACCAAAATGTCCTGAGATATATTCACCAGACACTGAGGATGATTTACTAAAAGATAAAGTTTACTTGCAATGTGAATGCTCACTGAGCTCAGTAAATAAGGTAGAGCTGTGTTCATTTTGAATACCCAATCAGGTGCAAAGGAAAATAATAAAATACAGGACTTTTTTGTTTTCTTGATTTTCATCTTGAATAACTTAATTGCACACAGCTTCCCATTATTTTTTAAGTTCACTGAACATTCACTTTGCTAAGATAACAGCTTCCACTGTTTTAGAGAATTAACCCCATTGGCCATGATTGTAAGAAAAGAAAAGTCAATGGGGAGTTCTGGTTATGGAGGAACCAATACACCATGAGTTAGGCTATACATAAGACATTGTGCAATGGAAATATACACATGTCATTGGGATTAGCATAAAGGCACCATGGGGACCTGGGACAACCATAACATTTTAAAGGAATGACGGAGTAGTTGTAGCAGCATAAGATAATATGGAGTTGGAATAGTAGAAGTTGCTGGAGAGATATCTGTAGCACAAGAGAATATTATGTATTTTGGATATTTAATTACACATAAGACATAAAGGCTGATTTACTAAAGAATTGAGAATCTTCGTGCAATAAATGGTGCGAATATTCACTTCAATGATCCAATCATGTGAAAAGCAAATTCCTATTTGTTTATTTAATCTGCACATGACTGACGGCATTTAAAGTGAGCAGTAATTTGCTTTTCACATGATTGGACAAATCAATGAGTGAAGATTCTGAAAGCCTTTGGAAAGTATCATTTTTTGTGACATAAACATACAATGCTATGGGGCTATGGGGTGGATTTACTAAAGTGGTAGTGATTGTTTACTTCATTACCAATGAGGAACTATTAAACAGAATTGTGCCTTGTACATGACAGAATGATTGACGTTTTCATCTTCAGCTTTCAGCTTTATGTGATAAGCTCAGTGACCATTCTCTTTGGTAAATCAGCCTCATTGGCAGACAATTTCCTGTAATAGGAACTAACCATAGGCTCTATATAGTTGAATGTATAGAATGTATCGTCACTTCTTTATCTCCAATCAGCTGTACAGACAATAGAGGGACATAGATGCACATTTTTCATACAGAGGAACATTTCTGACACTCTTCATCACTCACAGTATCTAACTGTTGCTTCTGCAGAAAGTGATGATGGGTATCTCAAAGTGTTTTAATACATTTCTCCAGACCTACGTCTTCCCAGATGTAATGACCATGATGATGATACAGATGCATTACCACATATTTATTTATTGCAGAAGGTTATTGAATGAATGGTATTAGCTTTCCCTGCAGTAACCTCTATTTCTATTGCAGTGGTGTGTTCTGGTATCTAGAGGCAGATCAGAATGTAGAGGACACTTTCTGGGCTCTGTATAGCTGCAGAAAAAAAAAAAATATCGTGTAAACAAATTGATGGTATCAAGGTTGGCTCTGGAGATTGCCAAAGTCTGATAGAGAAGGAGACGCCAGATGACTGGTATGGAAGACATTATAGGCAGGGTACAATTACTCCCCCCTTCTTCCAGATGTGACCTAGGAGAGGGGGAGGGGGGCTATGCACTATTCCAACTTGGACTATGCTGGCGATGGGGGATGTGGACTGGCCCAGTGTGTTCTGGTTATTATCCTCATTGCTTTAAATTCTGTTCAGATGATTCTTTTGTGTAAATCTGCACACTTATGTGAAATTAATGGTGAGGGGAAAATCAATACCTCTTGTTTTGACCTACCCACCAGTTTTTTATTTGCTAAAATAAGCCTTATTTTAAATCATTGGATGCATAGTATACGTTTCTTGAGGTTGTGTTGTAATTTTTCCTGTTTTATACTTTGCTCTGAGATAGGTGACCTTGGTTAAACTGTTAGATCTGTAAGAATAATTGAACAGCAGTGAAATGAAGATAGACATTTTGGCACCAGTTCAGATATACAGTAGGACTCGATAGACACAGAAAAGAAGAAAAACAAATGAGCCAACATTGGTGTGGGCAGCTTGACATGATGATAAAGAGAGGCAGAGCTGGTTTGGGTGGTGCCTGTCGGATGTGCTGGATAAGGCTGGAGCCACAGTCCAGAGGGTCTCTGTAGAGGACTTGGAGGGACTATGAAGCCCCAGGGATCGCTCTTACGGTCTCTGCTGCCCTCTAGTGGCCGTCACTGTGCTTGTCTTTTCCTTGTCCCGTTCAAATCACAATAACCGAACTGCAATTGACTCGTTTTTAAGACATTAGAACCTGATTTAATTTCATTTTTAATCAAAAACACATTTCGTTTTTACCGGTTTGTAATGTCGTTAAAGAGGCCTTTGGAAAGGCTTGCTTTTCACACATTTTTTTAAATACCTATGTCGTGATATTAGTATATAATCCTGTGTACAATTCTTTTTTTATTATTTTATTTACGATGTATTTATTGGGATTATAAATAGCTAATGTCGGCAGTTTTGATCCAAAACAAATATATGCCATCAAACCATATAGGTTCATTTAAAAAAAAAAACCCGAAACAAAATGTGAACATCTAACAGAATTCTTGAAGAAATCAGCCTTGAATATCAGATCAGCAACGAAAAATTGTGTACTTCTTTCCTCCATGCAAATTTGTTTTACTGTGCACAGTATCAAGATACATAAAAAATATTATTCGTTTACAAATTAAAGGGAAACATTTTTTAGCTTGTAAAAATGTCAAAATAAATGTCAAAATAAATACATGAACAAATCGTTTGATTTATTTATTCATCTATTTATTTTTACATTTTT